CTCTAATTTACGATCTATTTTCCGCGGGGTTAATTTATACTTCCTTCGACGGGATCCATGGAACAAAATCCGCTATAATTGTCTTTATTCGAGTGTATAATTGAGAAAATATTGAAAGATGCCCTTTGTGAAACAATTTAACAATTCGTTCATTTTTAATCTTGATGTTTAAACGTTTGTGTTTCAAAATATTTTCGAATTGTCTACATTCGACTAACTTTATTATTATACGATTCGTTAATTGTTCGAAACAGTAAGAAGCTTGATAATCATTCAACGAATCAGTCTAACTAGTGGAGAAAATATTCTTCTAGCCTAGAATAAATTATTTTTATCTCTCGAGAATGAAATTATTTCTGCATCCACGAATTAATTAATATTAAAATTAAACGATACGCGAGACTGCTCGCCTATTATAGTACCTTCTTATAAGAAGACACTCCCGATCTCGCTATCGAATAATTCTTCACGTTATATCAATTTTGAGAAACGCATTAAAAGGTGCCCTATCGTTTTGCCACGAAGTGTGAAATACTGGAGAGACTCGTGGATAAACTCGGTACCCGTATATCGTTTTGTACTCACCAGCAAAATTAATACCAGGCATATTTCGCGTTGGTCCTACGATTCGCGCGGATAGAAACCTCGCGGATGGCGATTCTGTCGCGTATGATGGAGGACGGTGTTAAACAGCCGAACGCGGGATTCTCGCGTAATGCCCAATCCCTAAAAGATCAGCGTGGCGGATAACACCGTTGTTGATCGTTACGATTTGATTTATTTACAATTACGGCCACGTTTGCCGTTTAAGAACGACCCTCGCGGCGCGGTCGTTGGATTGCGGCCGTGCATCGCGTTTGCACGGTGAATTATTAGCGTCGACGCGCGTCCAACCGGAGGAAAATCCAGGATCATTCGGGTACCCTTTGCAGGGAAAATATTTCACGCGAAAAGCGCGTTCCTTAGACCTTGTTCGCAACATTTCATCCATAGAATTCGAGAAGTTTTCTTCCAGTGCTTGAGCGTATATTCTGTTCTTTAGGAGTAATTGGACTACAATTTTCATTCTTGAGTGTGTGTTATTCATATTGGGTTGATTTAGAGAATTAAAAGATACGTTGAAATGCAGTAAAATACACTAAAATGAAGAAGCAATGTAGATATATGAACCCCCGATAAATTCACCCTTGTCTCCTGTTTTAGTAGATTTAATATTAGATATTTTGGGATCTCTAATCCTAAATAAAAAGTAACATATAAGTAAAGGATTAAATTTTCCTAAATTCAAAATAATTCCTTATCTACTAATTCAAAAAACAAAAAGCATCTTGTGGTTCCCAATATACAGCTAACGTCAAAACCATTCAACAAGCTAAACAAAATTATTAGGGACCATTTGTAATCCGCTAATTGCAAGTGTTCGTGTTAGATAATTCGAAGATCGTTTTATGGGCGTTTTACTCCCAATCTGAATGGAAAGATGAATCGCATCAAAATAGTGATTCATCACAATTAACGAGAATAATTGAAAAGAAATATGATCGAAATTTGGCGGACGTGCCAGATTTGTATCTGACTTTCGACCAGGAACCAGGCAGGCGGTGAAATATTTTGTTCGTTCGTTACGACGGATGAGATAGCTTCTGAGAATATATTCTGAGACTGATAACATAAAGAGAACATAGACTAATGTATCCAGATCGTAAGATACATAGATCTTGAAATACATTCTAGAATGTTTAAAATACTTTCCTAAACTTTGAGGATACATAGAGCATCTTAAAATTATATCATACATCTCATTCTCTCGCTTGAATCTTGCGATTCTTCTCGTTCTTATCTCCCTCTCTTGGCCCATTCGTCTCTATCAGGCACTATAATCACACACGATACGGAAGATACTCTACAATGAAGCTACACTTATGATAAACTATGCGAGATTGCATTTGCTCGTATATTATTTGCTGTGTAAGTAATGACTGCATTACGGCTGCTACCGGTAATACAATCAGTAATTACATACTAAATATCGATGCTCGGATCTCACCGCGTGGAAGCTTCTGCATAGAAAAATTATACTAATCGTATTCCATCCACCTTTCTTTTACACAGAATTTTAATACCTTTTATCTACAATCTGCTGAAACACGTTTGTGAAACAATCAAGATTAGATAATGATCAAGTAAATTCAGAAGAACTGACTGGAAAATACTACTAAACTACGTTTTATATGGAGACTGTACGATTCCCATGAATTAAATTGGAATAAATATTAATTATTCGTGTTCTCACAGCTAAGGTTTTAACTTTCTGATGCCATCAGCGAAACCATTAGACGTACAAGAAAATCTTTTAAACGAGTTCTATACAGTTTCCAACTGTAAAGGGTAGTTTTGCCCGTATAAACTCAAGTTATTGCAACTAAAAAAATAATAAAGTTTCCTTTCTAAATTAACCATTCCACAAATCTGCAGTCATCAACATCGAAAAGGTGCACCCTTTTTCCTTTGAGTGTCGGTCGGTTCGCGAACACGAGTCATCCTGGCGATAATTAATAATCTGCCTTGCTTTTCTGGAGAGTTTCCACGGCGATTTAGCAAGCCGCCAGCGCCGCTGGAACCAACAGCAATAACGCGTTTGATTTACGATTAACTTGTCGCTGCCAGGTCCGAAGGACTCCTGGACAGCCTCGCGGAACGATAAACGCGGGAAGGACTCCCGGACTATCCTTCGTCCTTAGACGTTTATTTCGTCCCTGAGAAAGATCCCATGACGACCGCTCCTTCTCGAGGTTCCCTTATTATGGAGTAGAGTCTACTGCTCGCGGGAACGGTCGTTGGAAAGAACACTTAAGGCCAGCTAGACAATAAAAGTTGTCGTAAAGCTTGTCACTGCGCGAACGCGGTGCCTGTGGTTCGTTAATTTCCCAGATTTATCGGCGCGTAAACTTGTTGAATCAATGTCTTCCGCGGAAGAGCGTTATGAATCGTTATGTAAGCCTGATCTTTGGTTTATATACCTTCCCATCGATTGGTCATTTCGAAAAGTATCTGATCGACCAACTGGACACGAAATAATCAACATTAGTAAAAATTTATTAATCGTCTAGGTTTTCCTTTAATTACTAATATATTGTAACAATCGTTCTTGAGGGAGCTAGATTCTTCTTTAAACTCCTCTCCAGCCTTTGTAGCTAACCTCAACAGTCTTTGTAGCTAACTAAAACCAGTTGAAATTAACCACCTGCATTTTGCAACGCGAAGATCCTTGAATACGATAGATTGCATCGTCGATTTTACCTATGGTGATGCGCGAAACTTGATAATTCAACCCTTAACACCGAACCTGCCATGACCGTTTTTGAAATTTCATTTAGAATTTGTAACATACAATGTTATTTTACCGCCATTTAACTTCACGACTTTTCTTATGGTATACGTATAATGAATATTTCAATATTCACTTCTACTATTATTATTTGTTTTCTGAAAAAATATATAATTTGTGTTGCCTAGCAGGACCGTCATCTATATTTTTTTGTAGAAAACCGGACAAGATTTGGTAACAAATTCTGGTCAACTGTCGACGTAAATAAAAAATATATAGCAAACATGGAAGGAGCGAATCTTCAGTTTCCACTATATTAGAACAGTCTAACAACGCGTATTAATAGTTAAACTTTACACACATGCAGTTTCGAAACTACTAGTGTTTTATCCATAACTAAGCCACCGTTAGAAGCGGCAAAGCATCTTCTTTCAAATGGTTTATGGTTTATGTCAATCCGACTTCCCGTTTTGAAGATATCGTAGTTTAAATGAAGGGGTAATTTTTTACTACACACTGTTTACTATTTACACGCGCTGTCATTGACCCCGTGCCGATGTCAACAATGAAAAGTAAACAAACTTCGAACTCTTATAGCTTCGGAACTAACCACGCGATCGGCTTGAAACAAAAATCGTTATATCTCCGGAACTAATTATGTTACCGACACAAAACCAGTTTCATTTTAAAGGGCTCTTCATTCTCTATCCGATGAATATAACTACTTTTATAATTTATGCTGTCTTTTATATTTATTTTGATATTTACTTTGACGCTATATACCTAAAGAAGTTTCAGCAATTCCTATTGATTATACAACTGGTGTGCGATAAAACTGGATTATAATTCAATTTGAATTTAAATTTGTATACAGGATGTTTGCATAATTACCAGCCAGCATGTTTTCATAAATAATAGTTTTCTCTGGCACTAACTACGGTATTGACTTGGAACAAAATTCGTTTTCAAGAACGTTTTATCTTCTATTCGACGAAAATTAAAAAATGGCGAGAAATAATAAAAGATAAAGATATCTTACCAATAAATTTCAAAATACAATTTTCTATACACATAATGCAAAAATGACAAATATATTGGTACTATGGTTGAAGATTCACCCAAGAGAAATTTAGATGTTTCGTTTTATTAGTTAAATTTACTGTATTTAATTTTTCTATAGATCGATTTGGGTCTTAAAGAGAATACAGCTTTCATTTTATTTCCAATATTACAATTTAAACAATAATATTGTAATTATAGTGTGTGAATGAAAATTCACTGTAGAGTGTCATACCATTTAAGGATTACTTATAACTTCGAACTCTTTTTTTCCCCCATGTATATATTAAGATAAAAAATGTCATATGAACATAAAGTTAATTAAAATACTACAGTCCCTACTTTCGAAATGTAACAATAACTAACTGAAGGTATAGGTACATCAAGTATTGTCAAAAGCACTAGGGACGAATCCCGAAAAATTTTCTCTGTAAACTTCACAGGTAACGAATGAATTTAAAGTTAACACAACAATTAATTTTCCGATATATCAATAATCCAGGCTACTAATCCGAAATACCAAATCAGCAACAGCGAAATTCCCTATAAATAAAACACTTAGATGAAAATGAACGTTCCGTCAGAAATATCGGCAGATAGCAGCTAACGTTAGGATCCTCCCGTGTTTCAGGTCCACGCACGAGAAGAGTGAAGAGGTCAGACAGTCGCGGCACTACTGGCACCCCCGAAGAAAAGCGACCCAGGACGGCGTTTAGCGGCGAGCAATTGGCCAGGCTGAAGAGAGAATTCGCGGAGAACCGATACCTCACGGAAAGAAGAAGGCAGCAGCTATCGAGGGACCTGGGCCTGAACGAGGCTCAGATCAAGATCTGGTTCCAGAACAAGAGGGCCAAGATCAAGAAGGCCAGTGGTCAGAAGAACCCGCTAGCCCTTCAGTTGATGGCCCAGGGCCTCTACAATCACTCGACGGTACCCTTGACCAAGGAGGAAGAGGAGCAGGCCGCGGAACTTCAAGCGAAATGATGACGATAAGATCGGTCCACCGGTTCAGTTTAGATCCGTCAATCCGTGAGAGTTCGAACGTGGAACATTTGTCGTTTCGATTCTCCACTGGTAGGGAAAGGAGGAATGTTCGTCGAAGCGTTCCTCCTTTACATTCCACGAAAAGTCACGGCGATATACAATCCAAAGATCAAACGTTTTGCGTCATTTCACTGTCAGAACAAGTTTCGAGTCGCGCCAGAAGATTTCGAGAGCTCCGAACGAAACTTCGTAGTCCGTCGTTTGCCTCTGAGTACGGTAGATTTGGGGTATTTATTTCGTTAAGGATACTAGTGCCACTGACTACGGTCGGATTAAAGTTGCCTGACCGCTCAAGGCCACGACAAATTTTATAATTGAGGTTTTTATTACTATTTAACGAGTATCGATTCGATCGAAATTCAGCCATCTTTGCGCTACACCGGTCTAGTTCTTCGCTTGAGAGGCGGAATGGCTGCGAGTTTCTGCGCAGGCGCGATGGGGGAAAGCGGTGGGGGTAGCTTAACGACGTGGTGGGGATGACTGTTGGGTAGCCTTGAGCGGCCAATTGATTTTGCTGCGTCCGTTGACGTTTGTACGACTGTTGAACGAATTTCGACGATTCGTTGTGTTAGAGCTTCCTGTTCGATATCGAGACCGATGAAACTCGTGCGCGTCGATGAATAGCAAGTGGAAAGCTCGTGAGTTACCGGAGTCAGGATTCGCGCGAATGATAATCATCGTTATTGACCGATACGATAATCATCATTCTATCGCCATCGTTCGCGAGAAAAGACTTAGCACGCACGTTCCTAGCAATTCATAATTTGATATTTAAACAGAGACAAGAAAATAGGAAGAACCATTTCGACGAGACGTGTCGATTTGAGCGCGAGCTACGCGATCTCGGTCGAAATGGGTTGTACAGTGCCATTTGTACAGTTATCTCAAGGACGTCGGGTCGAAAACAGTCATCGTTATTCTCTGAACGAACCAGTATTTAGAGCAGAGAAGAGAGTTTACGAAGAACGTGTGAGGAGAGATGAGATGCTAGATTTATTCCGTTAATTTATTGTAAAAATGTAAGATATCGTACAATTGCGATGTGCAATAGAATTTATATATATATATGGAGAGAAGTAAATAGAAACGAGTCTATGTATAGGTACGTACGAAATTGATAAAACCGTCGTGTAAATAAAGCGCAACTTAGCGAGAACGTCGTCTCGATAGACTGTTTAAAAGTAACTTAGTTATTTATTTACCTATGCTATGCGGAAGGCTCGATGCGATATCGAGTACTTATACCTTGTAAGGATTATTTAAAAAAAAAAACGAATTAAATATTCCCACTATCGCGAGCCACGTATCATGACTTGTTTATACTCTAACCTATCCCTCCCATCCCTATGGTTCGGACGATTTGCCCTTGGTTCACCCATTTTGCCCATCATTTTTCACGATAAGATTAGATAATTAATAGCGTTACCATTTTTCCCTTTCGATGGATGTTCACATATCTCGTGAATGCTGACAATTTCTCTGCAGAAGGATTTTTAATATGGTTTTATATTACTGTTGAGTAAGGGGGTTTCAGCTATGATGTTTGACAATATTTAAATAAATCAATTTTAAAGAACTACTATTTTTGTATATTAAGTATAACGAAAAATAATGTTCATGGTGTTCATAGTTAAATCGAATGTTTGTTGATTCTTTCATCCCCCTGTACGAAGTATGTCCCTGTTTGACAATGTTTAAAAACGATTGGTAGCAAATCGATTGGTAAGTTTGTTGATTCTTTCATTTCCAGTACAGAGTAACAAAGACAATAGAAAAAACTTTGCCAGAAGAATGGCAGATTAGAGGATTAAACAGCCTGGGTTGTGTTTGGAACATTAGTATCTTTTTTATCCTATTTTAGAAATGAAACTTTAATATCAACAAATTTTCATAGTTTCTGCCATAAGATTAGGGCTCCTATCCTATTGAAAAATGATGTTACTTCTCTGAAGTGGGATATTCTTTATATTTACTCAGAATTCTTTTCTTTAATAACTCTTTCTGTCATATACTGTAATAATCCTGCATCGTGCACTGTGAAACAACCCCCAAAGATAATGGACCCGCCAAAGTCGGCTCCCTCGTTAGTTGCACGCACCACGATAATTGCACAAATTGATGGGCCCGATTTCCTGTAACTGTGACTCGGAGTCCCAGTTCAAGGAAGCGAAACAGAGTAATCGAGTCGCTAACGCCGTCGACCAATCGATGCTAGGTAATTAACCCGACGAAATCAATCGAGCCAGATGTTTATCGAAACGCATCGGCGTTGCGGTAGTGCAGCCAAAGCGTGAAAGGCGAGAGAGAAAGACGAGAAAGACGATCGGTGTCGGGATAAAAGGTACGGGGGCGGGTCGATTCGCATTCAGCATTTGGCGCATGCTTCCACCCCCGACGCCCGTATTTCAGACTCGTGCAAACCCCATGAAAAGCCCCTCCCGTTGCCGCGATATCGATTGATTTACAGTCGAAAGGTGGCCATCGTTGATATCAAACCAGCCACGCCTACATTATACCGTAAACGTAATGCGTGTACTGCGCGGTGAACGGTGTCGGTTAACGCGTTTCACACTTCGTTTAACCCTCTCGTTGCTTAATAAAATATTGAAACGCGATTCGAGAAGTACTTTCCACTCCCCGACCTATCGAGAACAAAAACTACCAACGTCGAGAAGAATTTTGAAAAGTTTGTTCTCCTTTTTCCTTAACAAATTTCGAGACCCTTGCGCACGTTTTGATTATCGGGAAGAAAAAAAACTTTCTTTCCAGAAATCCACAAAACTTTTCTGATGAAGATTTTTTGATGGATTCTTAGTCTGGGCACATTATGGAATACAGAATTAATACAAATGTCAAATTAGTCAAATACTAGAGAGGGTTGAGATGTAAAAATTATGAATAGGTCTACGAACTTCTATTATAAATTGATGTGTCCGAAGCCACTCCTCGTACGAATACTTAACTGTAAAAGAAACCGACGCGTTTTAGTAAGTGTCGCGGATTGTAAGCGGACCCCGCCGTAGAAGTGGCGGGATCGAGAACGAAAAGATCGAAGATAAAGTTCGTCGCCGTCGGTGATAAATAATTTCATCGGTTCGCCGTGTTCCCCGATTTTTCTTTTTCGACGACGGAAAGGATCGTTGGTCGAAGATCGTCCAGGATTTCCGAAGGTCCTGCGTCGCTGTCGTTGGAACGTACCCGGTAAGTAATAGACGACATTAACGTACAAGCTACGTCGGTGGGATGGAACCGTCGATGAATAATCAGTGACAATTATTTTTTACAAGAACTTCTGTTGAGGGACGGACGGAAGTCCGTCGTGTTCGTCGATACCTGAACGAGTCCCACAATATTTCACGGGGCTTGTTAAAACAAAAGAAAGAAGTCTCGCGAATCAGGTATACCAGCGATCTCGGCGTGAGATATACCGAGTTGATCAACGAAACAGCTTGTTTTATTCCTAAGCGATCTCGGCGACCAAATTAATCCGAGTTTTCGAGTAATGGTCGCTTCCTTTTTTCAATCGGACGCTGAACGAAACTTACTGTCCGAGCCTTCAGAAAACTGTCAGTGTTGTTGCAGAACTTCGTCAATTTATAATAATTTCGAATTAATTTAATTTTTGATCAAAAGTTTTAAGAGGAAGAAGGAAAGACAAGAGTTCATTTTTAACTTTTGAAATTTTGCGTATGCATGAATGCATTTTTTTATTTTAAAATTCATCTTTGCTTTTAAAAGTCTCCCAGTTATCGCCATTTAAACAATTTAATAGTATTAGTTTTCCATATAGAAAAAGTATCGTCGGATCTACGAAAGGGTATAATTTAAAACAAATTCGTATACAAGAAGGAGGATTTATCGATTTTTAAAACAATGAATTTTTAATTTACTGATAAACTATTCCCGAGATACGAAGCAATGCAGGATTATTACGTTTAGTAATGGCTGGAAAAATAAAAATTATAATCGATCGAGACCAATCGTTCACAAACATTAAATACAAATTTACTCAGGCAGTTCAGATAGTTTCATTGCATTTTACTAGAACAGTCTTAATGTTTAAGTAATAAGACAAATTAATAAATAATTATGATGACGTAAAAGTTTGCTAACCGAGTTAGTATTTACTGCCGTTTCATTCTTGAAATAGAAGATCAATGCGATCTGCGAGGAACCTGTACAGTAATCGCAGATTTATGCACATTACACTTAATCGAGTCAATTTAATTTAATGTGCTATATAAATGGGAAACAGCGTGTGGGACGTGTGTTTGCAATAAGTTAAAGTATAAAACAGCAGTAACTGTGAGTGACGAATTGAATAACAAGTTATTACACGGTACTCGAAGTGACGGAACACTTAAATCTGACAACGGAACAAAAGAAAGAATAGATTCGATAATAATAATTCTGAAACGTTTTCAACAATTAAATTGTCCACGTATGATACAATAGAGTTCTAAAATGCATAATTTCGAACCCTCTCCGTGATCTGGAAAAGATAGAAAGACCAACCGTAATAAGCATTCTCGCGAAACTGGCCGTTCAACCTGCGACAAGAAGTCGTAAAATAAATACGGTAGAACGTCAATTATCCGATCAGGAGACCTAAGTCCGACAGGTCTCTAATAGCACACCTGTTCCACTGCTCCGGACAATATATGCAGTTCTATCTCGAGTACAAGAACTTCTAACTGCATCGAATAATCGAAAGTGATTAACAAGTATTAGGACACTCTGAAACGCTCACAATCTTTGAACTGCTGTAGCTTTCTAAAAAATAGTCGTACAATAACCTTCATGAGGTCACATTAAAGGCTGAATCCGGTTCTTATAAGGTATTAAATTCAATTTTCTCAGACGCCTTTTGGGAAAAGATAAAAAAATGAAAACGATTTTTCCCAAAAATATATAGTTAAATCTAGAAAAATTCTAAATACAACGATTATGCAAAATTCAAAACGGTTCCATATATATGAGAAGGGGGGGTTTTCATCTACTTCGAATAAGGCTATTTCTAGTGCGCGAGTTTTCTCGTTTCTTCGAAGTCTCGGAAGAAG